GTGGTGGCGCATGCCTTTAATCCCAGCACTCGGGAGGCAGAGGCTGGCGGATCCCTGTGAGTTTGAGGCCAGCCTGGTCTACAGAGTGAGTTCCAGGAAAGGCGCAAAAGTGCACAGAAAAACCCTGTCTCAAAAAACCAAAAAAAACCCCAAACAAACAAAAAAAAAACTTTGCATTTACTTGAAAATAAATTTGAAATAAGAAACATCTCCCAGAGGCATGTCTGCACCTTATCTCCTCGCTTTCGGCTCTTGGCCCCACAGTGAACACCGGCTTGTTTTCTTCTCTGACCTAGAGCAAGGTTTGGTTTTGTGAACAGTGGTCTCAGCATCATCAAGAATTATATAAATGCTTCCGGTACTTCTTCACTATTAAGTGTTTCTGGTACCTCACCATGGATCAGTTTCCTTTCGGTGCTCACTAAGGTAAATCGTCCTGGGAGACCTCAGTACTGCACAACTGAATTTTTCCACCCCAGAGCTGGGCATGCATTGCTCATTGATTTCCTCTGTTCCCAAGATTCCCGGTAGGTTCCTGCCACCCCCTCCCCATAGTGGAATCACCTCTCTCTGCCAATCAACGCTTGCAAAAATAACCTGCAAATTCTGTTAGCTGTTGCATCTCCCATAGGCTTTTAAAAATTACGTTTTTCCTTTATTTAGGGGCAGAGGGCCCATACCCCACACCCCTGTGTGTGGGGGCAATTGCAGGAGTGAGTTCTCTCCTTCCCCATGCGGGGCCTGCAATTGGACTCGTGTGGTCAGGTTTGGCCACAGGAGCCTCGCCACACTACACCATCACAGGCTTCGGTTTTTAACACACAACCCTGCATGGGCGGAGAAATGATTTCCAAGTCTGTTTCTTACGTGATTTTAATTTAAAGCAGCATTCTTAGCAATCCGTGTCTAGTGTGCCAATTCCGTGGTTCTTTTAGAAAAAGTGCTAGTCTCTATGTCAGAAAGACATAAAACTTCCAAATCCACCAACACCTGACGACACTCCTGCGGACGGATGAGGAAGGAAGAGGAAATGTGCAGCCCTGGTTTATGGACACTGTTTATTCTTGCCTATCTGGTAACACCTCCTCCCTCGGGGCTTTTGCTATGATTTCTGTAACCCAGTCCGTCTGTTCTCCTTTTATACTGCATTCAAAACACTGAGTTCTTTATCGAGCACTTACTAAGTGTTGAATGTGAGGATGATGGTCTGTGCACAAAGCACACGATTAGGCGAGATCCCTCCCTTGAGGAACCCAGTCTCCTGTGTGGACTGCAGACTGAGGCTGAGAAGTGCGCTGTCCCATTTCATGGTCTAATCTCATCTAATCCGAGTATTTTTTCCATGGCGGGAGGAAAGAGTTGATTGAGGCATTGCTTTTATTATATGAGCACTATATTTTTTATTCATTTTATTATTTTTATGTATGTGAGTGTTGCCTACATGTGTGTATGTGGGCCACATCCATGCATGCCCACAGAGGCCAGAAGAGGGCACTGGATCCCATGGAACAGGAGTTACAGATGGTTGTGAGACGCTCTGTGAGTGCTGGGACCCAAACCCCAGTCCTCAGTAGTAATAGCCCCTAGTCATAACCACTGAGCCATGTCTCCATCCCCCAATACCATGTTCTTCAGAAGCATGTCTCTAGTAGAGGTTACTTGTATAGGTCCATATAGTCATAGCATCCTTATGATCAAGAGGCCCCTGCATGATTATGGCAGATTTTGTGTTTTTCACCCTATCTCATTGATAACAAAGGGGCAGACAAGGGGAAGAGCTCTTGTTAGCTTCCATCTCTTCTCCTGCCGTCTTTCTGGGGAACCCCCTGTCTACTGCCTGAATTCCTCGGCTGGCGTGTTTTACCTAGAGATCCTGAGGCAAAGAGAAGAATTCAGCATTTACCTAAAAGCACAGCTCCAGCTTATTGGCTTTAATATTTTCCCCAAGCTCTGAGGGTTAACAAATGTTGGAAATCATTATATGCAAATTAAGGACAGGTAGCAAAATAAGCAATTTGAAGTATATTTTAACTGTAATTCTGCTTTCCTTATAAATGCAACCTCCACTGTCTGCCTGCTAATGGTAAATATCTGGATTACTGCTATCACAGGGATGAGAGATTTTTGGCTAGGATTTTTAAAAAGTTTTACTTGCTCGGTGGTTTGTGTATGGTAGAAATGGGTTCATTTAAAGAAGATAAAAATGAAAATTTTGTTGGTGACTTGAATTATGTTTCTAATATAAGGATTGGAAACCCAAATTCTGTTTACATTTTTTAAAAACCCATTTTGCTTTACAAATAATATTAATTTATCTGTATGTGTATGGAAATGTATGTGCTGGGGGCAGACCACAGCATGTGCGTGGGTACAGGTTAGTGGTCAACTTGTGGAAGTCCATTCTCTCTGTCCACCATGCCAGTCCTTGGATCAATATCAGATCCTCAGGCTTGGCCCCAAGCACCATTTGCTGAGTTATCTCACCAAGACCTCTACTGCAGGTTAACTAACACTGCCTCTGACTCCCCAGGACTATTTTCTATCACTAGGGAACTGTTAGCTTCAGGAAACAAGAGGCTTTGAAGGGCCTGGAAGTAAAATGTCTTTTCCACCCTATTGCATGGAACAAAAGACATCCTCATACATACTAAACGTGGCTGGGTGTTGAGCCCTCACTATGGACCAGGCACTTTTCCATATCCCAGGCATCTGTTCTCTGTCTACATGGGAGCTCTGTGGAATTTGATGCTTCCTCATTTATAGCTTAGATGAATTTAGGTAACAATAAGACATGAGGCACAGGAAGAATTCTACTTCAGCCCTGTCTGAAGCTGACATGCTCTTAGAGAATGTTAAGCCAGTGGCAAGACTGCCTGCCTGCAACTGGACTGAATGAATGCACTGGGCTGTGTCTGCCTTCCCACCATGCAGTAAAGTTGGGCTCTATGATGTCAATCTGGCTCATGCTGATGGTAGTCAGTCTTCCCACTATTCCGAATCCATTCAAACAGTGCAGAGGAAGGGGCTGGGACCTCCGCAGGTTATGACAGCTCAACTGGCAGTAGCTGGGAACCCCAGAGTTTAGGGATCTGGAGTGCTAATAATGCTAAGTGTCTGAGACATCACAGGCACTAGTGTTTGCATGGTTTAGGGACTGACTCAGCTGTGGTGAGGAGGGGCGGGGGATGAAGAAAGGACAGACACACCTACAGGAATGCTGTCACCCCATCAGCAGCCTCCAGAAATTCAGCAAGTGGAGGAGGAGGCAGGCTAGCTAATCTCAGTAGGGGGGCAGTCTTAGATTGCAGCTATCCAGGAGGAAGCTGTGCTGGATAGTTTCTGCTAATGCCAGTTTTAACTAATGGTCAGCCATTCCTATACACCGGTATTTAGACCATGGGAAGACGTGGCCATTTCCATGAGTCTGAGGCACTGGACTCCTTGGCATGGCTGTCTGTGCTCATGTCAATAATACCCGTTCACTTGTGTTTTTATCTGCTCACTGCAGGCACATAAACATATGGACTGCCTCATTAAAACCTCTCACCAATCTAATGAGACCATTACTATTGTCTACACTTGGCAATAATGGTAGAAAAGGGTTAAGTAAATTTCCCAAGGTTTCCCACACACTGGTTTCCCTACCCCAATGCTGTGTCCCAGTAAGAAAAATTTGTTATAGAAATATTTTTGTTTCTGTTTTTTAAACTTTTTAAAAACTGTTCACTGTTCCCCTAACACCGGATATTTATTATAAAATAAAAATAGTCTCCACTGATCCAGTTCCACCAATGAAAAGGTCTTTGGTGTCTAATCTTTCTTGATAGAGATGTTCTTTGATTTCCCTATTGGAACTGAGAAATAAAGCCAACAGAGAGCCAAAAGAAAAACCATGCTGCTCCGCTCTCCTAATTGTCGGCCAGTTTTATTGGCTCTGTTCTGAGGCTTTCTAAAACACCAAAAGTTTCTGGGACCTGTTTGAATCTTCATCCCAACCATTTTCTTGCAGGTTGGTAACTAAGTGAAATGAGTGTTTCCACACATGTTCTGACTACCAAGGAATGTTGGAAGTTGGAGCTTCCCCTGGCATGCGACAGTTTGGGTCCTGACTCTGGGCTGAGTATTTCGAAGGAATCTCAAGATGCTGGTGGAAATAAGTTACTGGAACGCCTCACTGCCTGTAGATGTAGAGGTAGCACCAGCATGCCGCTGAGGAGTCACCCCAAAACCAGCCTCTAAAGCCACAGCTCCACTCTCCACCCGCTGTCCCTCCCGTCTCCCCAGCCCTCGCTCCTTCTTCATCCTTTTCAACGGCAGTGAGCAGCACAGCCACACGGAGAGGCAATGTGAGATCTTCTAGTACCTTCTACCAAGTCACAGGAGAACCCGAGGTCCAGAGAAGGGAAGGTGTTCCTTTTGGCCTGGACTTTCACTCTCCTTTGCTCTCCTTGTCCGTTCCCTTTTTATCGTCAGCCCCATTCTCCCCAGTGAGGACTTGCTTCTCTTGCCTTTCTCACGGTGGAACCCCAGTTCTCACCTCTCCTAATTGTACATCACAGGAAGGGTGGGAACAAAGCTGGCGGAACCAGAAACCTCCTGTGGACCGAGGGGTAAACAGAGGAGTTTACCTCTGGAACTCTCGGAGTGAAGGGGAAACAAGGCTGTTGTAGAACATTTTAATGTGATACTTTTGCTTATGTTACGTTTGTTTAACTCTGTGAAGCTGTGTTACTGTGCCTGTCTAAAACACCTGATGGTCTAATAAAGAACTGAACGGCCAATAGCAAGGCAGGGGAAGGGATAGGTAGGGCTGGCAGGCAGAGAGAATAAATAGAAGAAATCTGGAAAAAGAGGACATTAGGGGCCAGCCACCCAGCAACACAGCAAACCACAGAGTAAGAGATAATGACAGGTATACAGAAATAGAGAAAGGTAAAAGCCCACAGGCAAAAGCTAGACGTGATAATTTAAGGAAAGCTGGCTAGAAACAACACAAGGCTGGCACCTGTATATTAATAAGTCACATTGCTACCACACATAAAGAATACCTTTGGGGGATTTACAGAATTTTCTGTTGTGTATCTAAGTCTTGATTTGATGTCCCCCTTTATGGGGACTGAAAGGTGGAATCAGAGGTAGTGCTGGTGAGTGTCTCCTCATTCATGAAGGCAGAGCAGCTGAAGAACATTCTTTCTTTACCTTTAAAGCATCAGTGCTTCTGGATCACACCCAAGGACCCAATTCAAAACTCTGAATTCAACATTATGTAATTTTCAAAATCAAAGGCTAGACAGGTTCAGTAACTCACTCCTGTAACACCAACACTCAGAAGCCCAAGGCAGGAAGATCTCGGTGATGATCCTAGGGCTACATAGCGAGTTCAAAGCTAGCCTGGGCTATGCAGTGAAACCTTCCTCTCAATAGATAGGTAGGTAGGTAGGTAGGTAGGTAGGTAGGTAGGTAGGTAGGTAGGTAGATAGGTAGGTAGGTAGGTAGGGATAATAGATAGATGATAGGGATAGATAGATAGATAGATAGATAGATAGATAGATAGATAGATAGATAGATAGATAGATAGATAGACAGACAGACATAAAAAGTGAGTCCATGGCTTAGAAATTTTCTCAGCAAGCTCATAGGTGCATCCTATTAAATTTGAAGACCCTCCTCTCCTGGCCTGGTGTGGTGGTGAACTCTGAAATCTCTGGAAGTAGAGCTGAGTAGGCACAACATCCTAAATTCAAAGTCAGTTTGGTCTAGAGAAATTCCAGGTCACCCTGGATTACAGAGCAGGTATAGGCTTGACTAGGCTTCTCTGTGCCTCTGCAGGAGAGATGATGTTCTCATGCACCTCTTTGCCTTTCCCAGTGCTGTGAACAAAACAATCAATTCAGAGGGCTTTATCTGCCTGAGCTGCTAATGGCTCCACATCACAGGCTTACCGGATACCCCTGGTTGCTGAGCAATTTCTGGAAAGGGAGTACAGACCCACTGAGATCGTGATCTACTGCATTAAGGAAAAGGTGAAGAAGTCAATCTGGAAGTCCCTGTGACATGTGAACTTGAAAGAATGTCAAGGTGCTCTGTGGTTCCTGGAACCCACGTGGCTTTCTATCCCAGAAAGTAATTCTAATGATGTGAGGTCATGATTCAAGGTTAAGTGCATTATAAATTGTAGTCCTTTGGATCATTAGCTCCTGAATAATGAAATGGAGACTTTTTATTAATTATGAAGGTTTGGCCTTAGCTTAGGCTTGCTCCCAACTAGCTCTTATAACTTAAATTAGCCCATTTATATTAATCTGCATTCTGCCAGTGGCTTATTACCTCTCCTTCATATGTATGTCCGATTCCCTCCACTTCTCACTGGTGAATCTCATGTGCCTCAGATTCTTCCCAGAGTTCCTATCTCTGCCCAGAAGTCCCACCTACCCTCTCCTGCCTAGCTACTGGCCATTCAGTCTTTATTAAACCAATCAGAAGGTGCCTTAGCAGAGACACATCTTCACAGTGTACAAAAAGATTCTCCCACAACAATAAATCAAACATCATAACAACGGGCTCTAATCACATCTTGGCAATCGGAAGAAACACTAGCACCAAGTTCCTACAGGACCCAGCTCCATCTCCAAGGCTTTCTTTCACAGGTGAGTTCATGGAGGAAAATGGACCTGTAATGGGACGGAAGGCACTCTGTCTTAACATCAGTGCCCACTGACCATAGAAAGCAAATGAGAGTAAATACCACTACAGTCTATTCAGATGACAAACTGCCATTCACTTTTGAAAACAATCTCTAGGATCAAGGGTCAATGTAAAAAGAATGCCAACTACAAGCTTTAGGATTAAAACTGGGGACAGGCACTGAGCGCGCCCTATGATGAACAGCTTATTTATGTATATCTACATAATTTAAACTCAAGAAGTTGATGATTTAGACCCACAAAGCAACATGCCTTATTGCACATCAAAAGGAAACAACTTGATAAATATCAGTAGGACAGAAACGATACCATTTATATTCCTTTGCAAACTTAAAAATAAAATGACCACTTAGTGGATTTCTTTCCTCTTTTCCAATCTCTAATTCAAATTTCAAGATGATCTAAGGACTTGGAATTGACTTTATCATTTTAATAAACAACAAATTCAATTAAACTTTTAGAAATACAATAATGTCATTATTGTGCACTTGGTTATGTTTGAGAGGCAGACAAAAGCAAGTTCTCTGGATATTTCTCAATGAAAGATTCTCATTGTTGAAGGGTAAGCTGTAGGTAGCCTAGTATAGTCTGTGGTCTTAAAGGTGACTAATTCTGAAGGCTTCCATTGCCCTTAGGATTCTACGGAACGATGGCTTACTCCTATATTTTCCAGAATCAAACCTCTAAGCAACCTTCTGTTAGAAGTTTTGGAAAATAAATGCAAAGTTTTGAGTTCTTTCCAAAAAAGAGCACTCTGTCATAAAGGGAATAATGAGTCTTCAAGGCTAATAAAGAATGCTGTTTGTCTCTCTTAGTCCATTGTTGTTTTTTTTTTTTAACCCGCTCAGGCTGTCCGTGATGTGGTATATAAAGATATCAGTAAAGGTTTTTTGGTATTGCTTTTCTCCAGGAGCAGCTGTCTTTACTTTAGTTTCCTAAGAAATGCAAGCAACAGAGAATATGCTAAGGAACCTAAATTGTGGGTTGTCTCTAGGGGCAAGCAGTGCTTATGTGGAGACTTTATGCACCAACACTGTATGTATTTAAAAATAGCTGGAAATGCTCTGTCTTTCAGGGGCTCTTGAAAGAAAAGTGAAGTGGCCTGACTACTTCCAAGAACATAGACATCTACTACAGATTACAGTATGTCCTCCACTTTAGGAAAGAGAAAAAAAGATTTTCATTCCAGAGGTACAAGAAGGGTCACTTAGAACTCCTGTCCCTGTTCTGATGCCTGGTATTCAGGTAAGAATAGTCTTTGGAAGTCCTCAGCTGTCCACTTGAAGAACAGTTTAATTTAACTCATCCAAGGTGAAGTCTTCATCCATGCAGTATTAGATGTAGGGACGGTGATGTCATCACGCCATTCTTGGGAGAGACCTGAGAGGTTCCCATTCTGTGCCATTCCATGTCCACCTGCCAGGATATCCAAGTATCTTAAACTCCTAGGTGAAGTTCACTGGCCCACCTCCTTGGACATGTTCATTTTCATTTATTAACAATCTCTTTGATTTCCTCCCTTGTTTTGTTAGGGGTTGAAGCATGTTTTCAAAGAACATCTGACAGAAAAACTCTTGTCACCAACCAACAGGCACCTTCTCTATGAAGGAAAACTAACTCTTACAGGTAAATAAATGGTTCATTGTAAAACGCAACATCTTTGCCACTTTATAGATTATTCAATGGCTGGAGGCTGGTATGCAAGAGAAACTGTATCTACACCTTGTTCCAAGGTGATGAAAGGCGTGAATCAGACAAAGTTCAGCTTGAAAAGATGTCTCGTTGTAGCTGTGTGTACTCCACTTTGCCTCTGTAAAGCAAGATCGTTATATTTCGTTTGTTAAATCACTGCCGAAAGAGAATGACATCCATGGAGAACTCACCTCAAGCTCTGACATACAGTCAACTTGCATCATTTTCCTCCCCACGTGACCAAGGCAATCAAGCTACCAAGTGTTAGTTGAGGACTCTTTAAACACCACACATTGGACTTATTAGAAACCTCTGACAAATATAAAATAATGACTCTACGTGATCCATTGCCTCTGGTTGGGAAGTCTGTCCTAATTATCACACTATAGTCTAACTAACTTCATGAGTTCTTTAGAATGCCTGGCAAAGGCTTTAGGCTTGAACGTGGGGGTAGAGGTGAGCTTTGGAAATACAAAGCATGGGGTTGGTCAAAAGACAAGAAAGAAGATGGAAGATGAGGAACACAGATGGAGATGCTCGGCAGATGTCAGCCACGGACAGACTCTTAGCAGAGTGCCTGGAACAGGAACGCACGGTTGCCGGCCCCGTTCACTCACACCTCAGCCTCTCTGCTGGTCTAACCTGTGCCAATCACAGGGCCCTTCCCTTCTTTGGTCTCCCTCTTTGTTGTGAGGAATGAGTAATTTCATAAAAGTATAAACACTTGAAAGAAGTATGGATACAGAGTCTGTGTCCCGTAAGCAGTATGACAGTGAGTGAGGGTTGTCTGTCAGAAATACACATATTTTCTATTTATTCATTTCTGTACAAAATCTTGATTTGGCACTGACTAATGAAGCCTTCAGGGATACAATGGTGCCTATTTATGAGCTCCTGTGAGAAGGTTCTGGAAGCAATTGCTTCTTCAGTACATGCACTGATGGTCTGGTGTATTTGGGGGATAGACAGCACAAGAGGTTAGTCAGTGTCAGTACCTGACCGCTGTCAATATGGAGGACAGAGATGTTTCCATACCTGTCTCTTTCCTGGCAGGAATACAGAGATGTTACATTTACAATCATCGCAGGTGAAGAACCTAGCTTCAGGGAGGCTTCACAAGTCACCTGTCAGGTCAACAGCAGAGTTCTGGCTCAACCCTGAGACTTAAGATTATGATTCCAAATTTCTTTCAGTCTTAGAAAAGTAATATTGTAACCAAATAAACACATTTTTTTTCATCCCCAGAAGTTAGTTTTCCTAACTTTCAGAACATAACCATCTTTCTACTGTATAAATTTATACACACAAAAAGGAAATTCACCTGATCATGCTTAGCTTGTTCTAGGAGACCATTTCCAGACCCTGAGTCCAGCTGAATTGATTTATCAAGTATTACTCTCATTAAAACAAATACCAAATTAAAGGATAACCCTTATGCATCCTACGTGACATCCCACTCTCAAAACAAAACAGACCCAAATAAAAGGGAACCCCCAGGATCTTGTAGTAAGAAAGGGCTTGGAGTTCATAGTAAATGATCTATCCGCCAGTCTTTGTAATATCTTTTCCTCGTGTCTGGGCCGAGAAACTCTTTTTTTGTATGATGTGAATGTGAGAACAGATATCGACAGTGTATAGCAGCGTTTTTATCACAGCTCAAGTGGAAAACATCAGAGCATGTATCTTCATTTGGCAAGTTTTTGGTTATTTTTTCCTTTATTTTACATACCTCCCACCATTTTCCCTCCCTTCTCTCCTCCTGCTCCTTCCCCTGACTCCCTTCCACCCCTCTCCCCATTCATTCACTCCTCCTGGACTCCAGTTAGAAAGCGGCAGGCCTCCCATGGGCTTGAACACAGCATGACACACCAAGTTGAGGTAGAACTGAGCTCCTCCCCCTGTATAAAGGCTGTGAACTGGGGCTTTTTGTGCATTTCCTCCTCAACTTTGGGGAGGGCAGATGTTGGGAGGAGCAGGGGAAGACATCCAGTCCATCTCCTGCTCAGAAACCGCACTTGCAGAGCACATAGGCTCTTTCTCCTGCCACATAACAGCCGACTCAGTCCCTCAGTTTCTTTCCTAAGGGAAATAAATGCTTTGGATCACATAACTCACTTTTAAAGGCCACTCAATTCTTAAGTGAAAATAATGTGCAATCAGCTCATGTGAGGCTCTAAGGTGGTCAGGAGCTACGCCAGCTGTTAGACCATTGTTTCTACAGCTGTGGAGAAGGGAGCACTCGCCTGACCCTGACTATCTTCCAAAGGTTCCTGTCATTGTCTGTCTTGTTAAGTTTCCCATCAAGGCAACAATATGGCCAGATAATAAGTGCATTATTATTATTATTATCATCATCATCATCATCATCATCATCGGTTTTTGAGACTTAGTCTCGCCATGTGGCCCAAGTGATTGGAAACTTGCTACATCGCCCAAGCTGGCATCAAACTCACGATCCTCTAGCCTAAGACTCCCACGTGCTAAAATTAAAGACGTGCCCTACCATTCCTACCTTGCATTATTCCTAAGAATTCAATCTGCAATTTCATCCACACCAGAGCGTTTTAAAAATTACAGCATTAATTAACAAACTACTTTTTCATTAGCATCCAAGAAATTCAGCTTTCTAATGATTTATGTTCTCAGTACTAGCTTTTCTAATTACTCATTTCTGAATACTGCAGCTCCTCCTATCTTATTCCCCAAGTGTGTCTATCCAACTTGCACATCAAACTAGTTTACTCCGTTTGAAATTTCCTATCTGATCAGTGTTTATAGTAGATATCGAAAAGGAAACCATCAAGTACAACCAACAAAGTACTATTAATAAGTATGTGAGCCATTGTCAGTTACAATTCAAATCTCTGTTTATACATTTTCCCCCTTCCCCACAGGAAACATGAAGGCACATGCAATAGCGGCATCACCGGCTTTACCAAGAGTCAGAAAGCCAGGGAAGCTTCCTCTTAACATCACCTTCAGAATCCGCTCAAATTTAGGTACCGAAAATAAGTTTTTACAGATTAGGCATTAAGGTATTTGTTCATTCAAACTTTTTTTTTCTAACACTTATCTATCTAGTGATGACAAGAAAAAAAAACACTCTCTAAATGCACTCTACAACTTGAGAGTTTGAGCCAGGAGAGTCCTAAGTCTAGAGGAATAATGATTGCAACAAGTTAGAACTCTGCATAGAACTCTGGACAAATGTACATTGCTATCCAGACTGTCTTCTAAAGCTTCCTCGGGTTTAGCCTGAGGCCTGAGTGAAGAATGGTACTTCGATGTACAAAGGGTGAATGGTAAGTGAAGTATCAGAAGGAAACACACACCCACACTGTGTCTAGGACAGATTCCAGCATCTTACTCTGTAGATGTACATTAACATACCAGTTCTTGGACATCACTTGTACATCTCTTACTTTGTAGCCCTACCTCAAACACAAAGGGAATGTTTGACGCAAGGTTTCAAGAAACAAATGTATATGTTTTAGTATCAGTTGTAAAATTCCTATTCTCCAAGTCAGTTGAGTTGCCTTAGGTATATTTATAATGTTCTAGCTCGGAAGCAGAGACCTCCAAGGGAAAACTAAACTGTTTTAAGAAAGAAAATAAGCATTTGTTTTCCACTTATCAGTTAGCACTTTCCCCTGAAAGGTGAAACAGTGAGGTAATGTTGTCTTAACTTCACTCTGTCAAGAACAGTGTTTGTCAGGAAATGATCTTCTGGATTTGAGCGGCATACAGGCTTTAATACTGCAGTCACTTCCTGCACCTGACAGGATTGAAAACTTCACTAGACTTACCAAGAAAAACAACTTGAACTAATATATTTATCGTGAAGGAATATACTGTTAATTTCATTCAAGGAAGTGAGTCTTAGGGTCAGAATATACCAATGAAAGTCCACAAATTTCAATTTCAGGCATGGTGCCTTTTGTGATTTACAGAGTGGAAACTACACATTTGTCAAATTTGGTTGCAGGACAGCCAAAGCCTGAGGTGATTTATTTAACTAAGCTAAAGTAAAGGCTAGAGTGATGATGTTTGAGAAAACTGTATGCACTGTTATTCTCCTGGGCCAGGTGCAGCAGGCCAGACACTGTTACAGAGGAGAAGCAATCTCTTCACAGGTGCCACATGTAACACTAAGAAAACAGTAGCCTGTTAGAGAAGTAAGGGAAGGGAGTGAACGGATGGGTAAGAACAGAGAATAAGGACATGTTTGTATGAAAACACATTAATTTCCATGCTAGCTTTAAGAATTAAACGACAAAAAAGAATGAGGGAAGTAAAGGCAAAGAGGAGCAAAGAGACATTGAGTGAGCATCTAGAGAACGCATCATCTAGTGAGCGTCTAGAAGA